TAAAAAAAAGGAATATTTAGTCTATAACTGATATGAGCGGAATTTTGTTTCTGAAGTAAAATTGCCCGCAATAGAACTTGGCATTTTCAGCCAAGGGACAATCTTATCAAACACAGCTTTGTTCAGAAAACGCTAAAAACACACTCCTCTAAATACTGATTTCTTTGTTGATCTTCTTTCATTGTGCAATGTTGCCATCCAGTGGCTAGAAAGCATGATTCGTTCTATTGTATCACCTCCGAACACCAATTAATACAATAAGGAATATTATCTGGCCATTTGGATTAAAAACATTTGGCTGTTAATGGAATAGGCAGCTAGAATTGAAATTCTGAGAAATATGAAATATAGCCTCTCTGCAATTGAATTAGTTCATGAAAGTAAAAACATATAAATGTGGGGCCTTTTATCATGCTAGTAGCAAGTTCAGGATATAATACCCACCACCATCATATATTGTAAGTACTTGTGTAGACGTAAACTTTAGATTTTTTTTTCAATCAGTCCAGGCACTATAGGAAATGAATGATTAATCTGTATTGACTGTAATTCATGGTTTGCTGCTTTTGGAGCAGGTTGAAAAAACACGGATCACAGTTAAACTCCCCTATGATTTTCATTCTGGTTTTTGCAGGTAGAAAAAAAAACATTGTTCATGGATAGAGGTGTCACAAAATTGGAGCAGAAAGATTAGTTTGTAAAGATGTAATTTTGAAGCATATTCATGGATTCCTTGATGCTTCTTTTGTTAACATTAACTACTGCACTGATTTGGCTTAGAGATTCTACTCTCAATAAACTCTTAGCCAAGGGAATTTTCCACCAGACTGAAGAAATAACATGGAAACAATGATATCACCCAATTATTTAGAAACAATCCCGAGGTCTGTCATTACCTGTGAATTCATCAGTTTGTTCAAAATTGTCTTTTTAAGCCATTCTACAATTAAGTTAGACAATAAGAACTCGATGAAAGAGACAAATAGTTTTAATGTTAATATTTTCTGTTGCCTTGAGTTCTAGCTGTTAAAACTTTTAACTGGGGCAAAAAGGAATAAAGCCATGCTATTCTTTTTTTTTAATTTCAGGGTGATGTGGGGAAAAAAATACAGTTCTAAACTTTTTTTTTGCAATTATTAACAGAGTAACAGAGTTGGAAGGGACCTTGGGGTTTCCTAATCCAAGCCCCTGCCCAAGCAAGAAACCCTGTACCATTTTAGCTAAACGGTTATCCAGTTTCTTCTTAAAAACTTAAAAACCTCCAGTGTTGGAGCACCCACAACTTTTAAAGGCAAGCTTATATAAGGAGGCATGTGTAAGATAAAAGAATATTGCTAATTACTAACATTTTAAAACAATCCATATTCAATAATAAATAATAAAATAGCTTTTTTGAATTTGAAAACAGACTATTTTGCAAGTCTCGCACATTTTGTTGGCCAGATCATGGTAGCAAAATTATTGAGGCAAGAGTCCTTTTTTTAAAAAATAAAAAAATAAATTTCAGAAACAAACATTAAATACATAAAGCATAAAAGAAAAGGGGGAAATGAATAATAGTTAAGAAAAAGTGCTAAAAATACATCAATTTAGTCAATTTAGAAAAATAGTGTGGTTAGGAAAGATAACAACTCATTCTAGAGATAAATTTGCTGTTCCCAATGTAAAGTTCATACCCTTTGATTTGCCTTTTCTGTTAAATGATATACATACTTCCTCTTGTGACACTCAAAAGTTAGTCAGTTTCCAGGAAGTAAGAGATTGTAAATGAAACATTGGTTCCTGCCATGTCTTTCCACAAAATCTAAAAGGAAGAATGTCACAGTTCTTCCAATAATAGTGGGTTTCCTTCCCCCCTTTTTTTCTGAAGCTGTCTGGTTGGCAGAGGAGGAAGTATCATCCTTAAAAATCCATTCAAGGAAATGGTGCTATAGAAGAGGGTTTCCAAGCTTGGCCACTTTAAGACTTGTGGACTTCAACTCCTAAAATTCCCCAGCCAGTGTGGCCAGCTGAGGAATTCTGAGTGCTAAATTCTACAAGTCTTAAAGTGGCCAAGCTTGGAGACCCTACTATAGAATATTCTTTTGTTCATGAGCTTGTAGACTTTGCCATTATACTTTTTTCCATTTCATTGAATTAGAACTGAAAGTGAGAGAAAATAGCCTTGGGGGAAATATGCTGCTTTCATGATCAGAATTAAACCAATCAGAATTAAGACTAACATGTAATTTATATTTGACCAAAGGTTTTCATTTGAGCTAAGTAAATGACATCTCTGCATGTCTCTCCATTTTCAATTGTAAGGGTCCAAAAGCATTGTTGGTCAAGCAAAAGGTTTTGAAAACTTGTTTTCAGCTTGGAATGTTTTTTTTTTTTATTTCTTAACATTATACAGTAACCACTTCTCTTTGCTGTGCTCCCTAGTTATTAACTCCTGCCTCCTCACCATCCTAGGCAGTTGATTCATGATTCAGCAAAGAAAACATGCACGTAATTTGGCACCACCTGGAATGACACCATGCTTAATCAGTATTATTAAGTGTGGTTGGGAACATGAGCTCAACCATGTATTCGAAGTCTAACAACTCTTTCATTTCTAAAATGTTTCTTTCGTATTTAAATACTCTTATTTTTTAGCCTATTTGACTTGTTCTATTTAATTTAGAACATAGTTCAAAGAATGATACATTCATAAATCTTAGTCCTTTTGGGTATATGATGTTTTCTTTGATTTGGGCATCACTCAAATTCTTCTAACAGTAGTTTCCACATGAAGACCAAAAGAACACATGATAACAACTTTCAAGTATCACAAAGATTGTCATACTAAAGAGGGCAGGATCAGATCTACTGTGTTAACCCTACAAGGATGTAGGTTCATGTCAGAAGGAACTTCCAAATTGTACAAGTGAATCAGACTGGCATAAGAAGTGGTGTGTTTTACCTTGTTAGAGATCTTCAGACAGGAGCTGTCATTGATACAATGATCCCATACTCAGCAAGGAGTTTGACTAGATAACTGCTGAAGTCACTCAGCTCAGTGAGTTTATGACAAACTTGTGTCAACACAACATCACGTGACTGTATCGTGACTTTTTCCCTTTCGCTAAAATGGTGGTGGTCATGGCTAGCGCGTGACACATCCGGCCTGTAGGCTGTGAGTAATTCTGTCTATGTCATTTCTTCTTATTTATAGCAAATATTCATATTTTGTTTGGGTTTGGGCTTTTTTTTTTTTTGGCTTTGTAATAGCTTGCCCACAAAGAGTTTCTCCTGGTTGGTAACCAATCTAGACAAAATCAAGATGTACAATATCTAAACTTCTGATTCTTTAACCTACCACACTTTCTGACTTATTACAATAAAAGGGTACCCAGAATTGGATTCAGGAGCTTATGCATTTCTCAGATTGGAGGATAGAATCAGTTTAGTTGCTTCACAAGAAATGGAGCCTAGATTGTAAGAGAGAAGCCACAATAGGTAGCAGGTTAGAGATGTACAGGTAGGAAGTCTGATACAGCAACTGTGATTCTTGTCTTTAATGAAATCTTATCTCATAAAATCACAGGGAGTCATAAAGGATCCTTTGGTTCTTTCCACCAATCTTACCAATTTGCATTAGTTTTTTTAATCTTTTCTTTTGCTCTACAGTTGGCTCTTTGTCACTACCATGTTTCCCTGAAAAGGGGACCCTGTCTTTTTTGCTACCCAAAAAGGCACTAGGTCTTATTTGGGGGGGAATGTCATCTACTGACTTACCTCACTTGCATGCGTCACCCCTGGCCTCCTTTTTGCTGTCAGAGGCCTTCAGGAACTTCTTCTTCTGCAGCCAGCAAGGCTTTCCTGAGGACCTCTGCAGCTGATAAGAGCTCCGGATCAATCTGGAGCTTTGGTATCAGCTACAGAGCCCTTCAGGAAAGCCTTGCCAGCCTTGCTAGTTGCAGAAGAAATGGGCCGGCAAGGCAAGTGTCAGGGTGTGCGAGACCTGGCTACTACTGTCCAAACGTAAGCAGTAGGGCAGCTCCATCACCATCCTGTCCACACCCTAGCTTAATTTTTACCCGTCTACTCTGGAGTGGGCGGGATCTTAATTAGGGCTTATTTTGAGGGTAGGGCTTATATTGGGCGCATGTGGAAAAATCAAGCTAGGACTTACTTTCAGGGTAGGTCATATTTTTGGGGAAACAGGATAGTAGGGTGACCATCTTTTCTTTAAAAAAATCTTTTTCTTTTAAGAAAAAGACACCATTGTTAACTTCTTACTAATATTTCAGAATACTGGGTACATATCTGAGCTACCTGCTACATCACAACTTGTAGATTTTAAGATGATTTTTTTTCATATGGGTCTTATAATTCCACTTGGATGCTGTTCTCAGGCTGTGGCATTCTGTAGCAAGCACTCTTGTGGGTTGTATTATACCTTTTCATTGGTCTGCCCACACTGTTGAAGGAACTGAGTATCTAGATGAATCATGGTGATTCCATTTGATTCATCACTGTTATTGCGTGCTCATAGGTAGCTTCATCAGGAGTCAATCTGCAGTGTTTTCTCCTCTCTTAATTTCCTCCCCATTGTTCCAAATACACCAGTGTAGTTTCCACTCACAGTGAGCGGGGTAGTGTCTTAACATAGACAAATGCTGCTTGGTTACACATGAAGAAACTGAAGCACAAAAAAACTGGAAGTGATTTGTTCCTTTCAACTTTCAACCCAACTCTGGATTAGGATTACAGACTTGGATGCAGAAGTGTCCAAAAGCCAGATGACATTGATGGTGATCAAGATGGTTTGATCAAGCCTTGTTTATGTGCAATGCATCCCAAGCTTTTTGGCCACGCCCTTTGGCTATCTCTTACATGGTGTTTTGACCAAACCCCTACGAACACCCTGCTTAAATGCTTCTTCGCTTTGCTTTTATTTTCCATGACATATGAAGTCTACCTGTTTGTCCAGCTCCTTCCTGTCTTGAATGGTTTTGTTTTCTTCCCTTCTTCAGGTGTCCCCAATGAAGAAGTTTTTGCAGCAGAATGTACCCGCAGAGGACAAAACGCCTTGCCTTTCCAGCCCGCTAATGTCCGTTCTCCAAAGTCCCTGAAGCCCACCACCTACCCCAAGCATGTCTTTCACTGTAATAGTGATGAGGATGACGACTTGGTGATGACCAACTGGGAGAGCCCCTTATATTCATCAGGTGTGCACAAAACGGGGCATGAGAAGCTAGTAAATAAACGGGAACTGGTGGGAAAACCAGGGAAAAAAGATTCGAGAAATAGAGAGGAACTGAAAGAGAAGAAGCGAAGGAAATTATGGGGCTGCATCCTGATTTAGAGCTAGCATTTCACGGTGCATTCTTTCACCCTCTGCCTTCAGAGACACTTCAAAATGTTTTGAGTCCCATCCCTTCCCAGCAAATTGTGAAAAATACCCAAATAAAAATCCAGCCTCTATGCCCATAGCTATGAAGAGGTAGTTGCTAAGCTGCATTTTGTGCCTGTTAGTTGGCATTTTGTCTACTTTCCTTGCTTCAGATTCAGGCTTGGCAATTATTTGAATAATCTGAGTTTTGGAGTGCGTGGGATCATCTTTTGTATCTTTACTTTTTAATTGTTCCCCATCCAATCAAGACTTTTCATGGAAGGCTCATGTGCATCTTTCTTTTGCAAATTTAAGTTGAGATGCAGAGCTACCTGCTCGGTATTTTATTCATTTCAGTCATTGTCAGATCTAAAATATCTAATTTTCAGATTAATGCTACAAGACTAACATTTTCTTTGGTATCCAGGAATAACAAGAGCTTTAACATGAGTAATCTATTGTTTATGCCCTATTTGTTTTACTGGCTGCCATCATAGGAGAGGCAAGAACATTAAATTACTGTTTTATGAACATGCTGAAATGAGAAATTACAGCACTATATACATGGCTACACAATCAGCTTACCTTTGCTCTACAGCTTAGAATTTCTGTTAGAAAATGGGTGGGTTTCCCCCCACCCCCCCGCCCCCAAGAACGCTCTCCCAATTTGCTATGCGGGGCATCCATTCTCCCTTCCAAGCCTTATGGAAATTGGGGAAAACTCATCTGTAGACCAAAAAGACTATAGGTAGTCTTTGTTTAGTGACCCTATGCAGCAATGACAGCGAAGAGAAAAGGAATCTTAAAACCAATCCTTGCATTTACAAACTGTGTAGATTTGTAAGGCAAAGGAAAGTTGAAGCAAGATCATGGTTTCACTTAGTGGCTATTTTGCTTAATGACAAATTGATGGTCCTAATTGGAGTTGCTAAATGAAGACTATCTATTCCAGGAATCTTGGCCTACCTCTGCTTATGGATAGAACAGCTGATGCAGCAAGCATTATTTATATAACCCTATTGCAGCTTGACAGCTTTTGATTGGTGACTCCAAATAGTTAGTATTCACAACTTCCCACAACCTACTACTCATTGTTTTAAAACGCGGAACATACCACACTACAACAGATAGTGTCCATTCTTTTAGCAGTGGACAAGCAAGGCGAGACGGGTTTGTGGAAATGACAATTGCATTCTTGCTGTGACTGTTAAAAATATTTAACTCAGTCTGTCAGCCCAACTAGAAAGGTTATGGTATATTTATTTTCAGACATAAAGGAGAGGAAAAAAAACTAGTAATTAAGGCTTTAAAATTCTCACATTTGATCAGGGCATTTATTCACCAGATAAACTATCATGATTTCTAAAGTGTGTGCCTCAGAAATAAGCTCCAGATGAATCCATCGCCAGGACTGGGAGGAATTTAAAGAGGTGACTGAATTTGCTGATCAGCTTTTTCCAGAATCAGTTATTAGAAGGTGGTGTAGCATATTTATTAGTTGAACATCTAATTGTTGTCATCAGAATGGGACTAATTCAGTATCCAGCTAAAGCCACCCTTGAGTATTCATTGACAGGAATTGCTGTTGTCTTTAGGGAGCTGGTGGTAATTGGAAGAAGTAATACAAGCAGCCCTGACTTATAACCATCTGTTTAACAATGACTGAAAGCTATAGCAGCAATGAAAAAGTGACTTATGATTTGTCCTCAAAGTTAAGATTGTTATACCACTCTTGTAGCATCATGATTGTGATTTAGGCACTGAGCAAGCAGCTCATATTTACAACAGTTGCAGCTAGCTTCTAATAATCCAAGTCAATGCGGGAAGCTGGATTTGCTTAATGGTTGCATGATTCAATTAATGACAGTGTGATTCAGCTGTGTTAAAAAATGGTTGTAAAATCAGGTCTGCTCAGGGAATTGCATTGCTTAGTGACAAGCTGGGTTAAAAATCTGGGCTAACTACCTGTTAGATTCTCCTTTGCAAATTATCCAGCTGTCAGTCATAGCCCCAGCTTTGGAAATGAAACTACTCTATTTTTGCTACTGACTCTTGCTAAAAATAAGTGAGAAATAGCTTGTAATAGAAATAGAAACTCAAGTATCAAAAGAAGAGTTGTGGGGTAGCTTGAAAGGACAAATTGAAATATTTGTTTTACAGAGCAGTCTTTCTTTACTTGTCTTAACCATATATTTTTCTTTGGGGTAACAGAAGATTATAAATCATCATTTTCAAGATGATGATGACAATGATGGAGAAGAAAGAAATCCACTTGTTTTTGTATGTGGCACCTTCTCCAAAACGAAACTTCCTTTGCTTGCCTTTAATTTGCTTATGCTAACTGGTGAACGACCTGTAGCTTAGCTGAGCCACACTTTTCAGAAAGTTCTTAGGATAGAATTACTTTAAAAGGTGAATGTCTCTTGGTGTTTAGGAATCACTAGTTCATGCAATGAGCTGAATTATGCCCGCATGTGAAGTTTTGAGAGAATTTTCCCAGCCTCCTGGACACGAATTTTCCCTTTCCCCAACAGTATCATCCATCTCCTCCATGGTTATGGAGAGCAATGCATGGAAAAAAAGCTGGCTATACTTCAACTGCATCTCCTGTTTGCCCAGGAAAGGACAAGAATGGCCAAACAATTTTTTTTTCATTCCTGTCCCTTTCCTTTTCAACGGTTCACATTCTTCTGGAAGTATTGAAAGATGTACTTAGTTCATACTGTTTTGGCTGAGATTCATTTTCCATGAAAAGGTCCATGACTAAAGCTCAGGCCATGATTCATACCATAGAATAAAAGCCATTGGTGAGATTCAAATAATTTAACAACCGGTTCTCTGCCCTAATGATTTCTTCCAACAACCATTTCACCAAACTGCTCAGAAAATTAACAACCTATTGTCTGAAGTGGTGCAAACTGGTTGAATCCCACACTGAATTAAAGCTTTACAAGATGGCTTCTTAAAAAAAAAAAAAAGGGAAGGGATTTCTTTGGCAGGTATGCCTGTAGTGATGTCGGAGCTTCTAATATTATTTGAAGGTCCTACAGCAAAGATGTGGCTTATTGAGTAGAAGGCAACACTGTAGACCCAATGTCCTTGCAGTTGCCTAAGAAATTTGCTTCTATGCCTCTTTTCAGAAGATCTGGCTCACATTTTGAGGGAACAATCTTTACATTGGGGTAGTTCTGCTATATGAACAATGTTTTACAAGCCATGTTTCCTCAGGACACAAAGAAGGCAGCAAGCGGAAGAAGCAGAAGCTGAGGGAGGAACAGAAGAAGAAGAAAGCGGCCAAGGCACCATATTAGAATGGATTCTGATGTCCCCAGATGCTATTCTTTTGTTGTTCTTCCATTTGATCCCACCCAGGTTCTTGGTGCATATATTTCTTACAGCTATTCTCACTTAGCAAACGAGATAACAGTTAAAATACAGTAAAGTTGCACTATTAAGCTTGAGCACCACATACTTGTTGAAGTTGTGATATAAGACACCCTAGTTAGAAACTCCATCCCTGTTAGAGTAAACCGGTATCAGGATGTCAGATACCATAAAATAGAGTAGATTTTGATTAAAATTGTTGAAGACATAGTAATGCAATGGGGCCTTTTCATCTCTTCCTGTCCTTCGCATGTTTATTCAAAGTTTGGTAAGATTATTTTTCAAAAATAGCCATCATGAATTTATTTTTTATTTCTGAAGAAGCCCCAATAGAACCTTAACATATTTAAATTTATGTCCAAAGGGATTAAATTATGCATTTAATCATACAGCTGAGAAATGTTTAGAGTTTTTTATTTTACATTTATTTACCCCCAGGGGAAAAGTGGTTGACTTTCCATTCTGACCTGTGCTATTATTTATGTATGTTGCATTACAAAGAGCATCCTGTAACGATTGAACTGAAAACATTCACAGTGAACTGTTTCGGGAACTAGATTTCTTGTGAGCATGATATGACCCCCAAATTTCTATCAGGACAAATTATAGCTGGCCTTGAAAACAGTACGTAATTGTCATTGACTGGAAATAAGCAGTCATTGCAAATTGCGTGTATGCGCGCGTGGTATAAAATAAGAATCATAATTACATCTAGGCAGGCAAAATTCATTTTTTAGCACATGATACTATATGGCCAAACTGATCTATAATATCATTCGCATACTGGATATATCCAGATATAGCTAATTAGCTTGCATGGGTGGGTGGGGCATGCACATACATAATTGGAAATTTAAGGATATAAATATAGCAAGGTTACATAATCTCACCTGTATACATGTGTAATATGCATGGTCCATGACTTCTTTTTAACCTCATAACAAAATACTAAGCCAGAACCTCCTTCCAAGCATGGTTACTATGAGCTGCCTTCCTGCTATTTAATCTACAAATTAAAATAGTTGAAAGTTTTGGTCTCCTTTTTTTAAATTTCCCTTTCACCAATACATTGTGTTGCCTATTCTCTCTTATTGGAAAACCCACATTTTCTAGAGAAATTTAATTACAGAAATTTAATTACACCAAATTATTGTTGCTTAGGTCAGGAAGAAGGTGATGTAAGTGGACTTATGGTACTTATGTGGATTCAATTGTAATGCTTCTATTATGAAAATGTAATCTTATGCAACTCATTAGGATATGTTTAAAAGGAACATGTCTGAATCAAGATGGAGAACCATTTTTTTGTTATGGAAATACCACTGAATTGTTGTGCTGTGTGACTAATATTTAAAGAAATAAAGTAAATTCCCTTATTACTTAGCTCTTATTTTTTTAATTTGAAATTTATTTATTTTTGAAAGCAGAGAATAACCTCATTGGGACATAAACACCAAATAGAAGATAATATATCTCAATCGATAAATACAGTGTTGAATGTTTTCTGGTTTACAGTAGAAAAATATTAATTGGGATTTTTGCTGAGATGATAAGAAACAATGAAAATGATTGTGGGTCTAAAAATTAGTAGCTTTTATTTAACTGAAGATTTCTAAATATTAGACTTGCAGATAATCATAAAGCAGAAAATCTTACAAAATTTCCACAAAAATTTAATATATTATTTATTTAATGTTATTTTTAAAGCTGACAGGTCAAGATGGTACCTATGGCTATGGCTCTTTTTACTTAATACACCTAAAAAAGAGCATAGTGTTGATGGCATGGTCACAGTTGCCACTATCTTGAAATTCCCACCATCAATTGATCAGTGGTGGGATTCAAATATTTTTATCACCGGTTCGGTGGGCATGGCTCGTTGGGTGCGCTTTGTGCATGTGCACACACTTTGCATGCGTCCATGCGCCAAATGTACTTTGCACAGGTGCAGAGGTGTTTGCACGGGCGCAGAGGTGTTCTAACTCACCTCTTGCAATCCTGCACTCTTCCGGTCGCTTCAGCAGCTGCCGCGCGGCACTCTGCTGTGCCACAAAAAGCAGCTGCGCTTCAAATTCAGAGGATAAAGGGGAGTATGGGAGCCCGGGCGGGCGGGTAGGCCCAACAGCAGAGCAGTGGAGAGAAACGGTTCGGTCTCCGCTGCTCATCGACACTACCGGCTTGGCCGAACCGGGCTGAACTGGTAGAATACCATCACTGCAGTTGATGCTTCTGATCCTAGAATTTCTCACCAAAGCAAAACCAGGTTAAGAGTTTTTAAAGATTTTGCAAGGAAAAGGGAGTGGGTATGGGAAAGAGGGGAAAAAGCAAATAGCCACTGATCTTTTAGCCACAAAGGGTTAAATTCAGAAGTTCAATAGCCTACCAACAATCACAGTCACAACTCTTGGGCAGCACCCATTGGTTTAGGGTTGTCTAGCCATGTTTTAATGATTCAGTCATAATTGGCTAGGTTCCATAACAGACTAACTTGAAACCAGATTATGATTTAGTGCAGTCTGGGAATCACAATAATTTTCTTTTACCATGTCTGTGCAACGCCATTCTCCTCCAAAACAGCATTTAGAAATTTAAATGTCAACTTGGTGGTAGATTTGATGGTTGGGCCACGTCTAGCTGGGAATATTGGTAAATTGTGGCCAAAGATGTACAGGTAATCCTTGACTTAAAACCAGTCGCTTATGACCATTCAAAATTATGGTGGATCTGAAATAGGGGACCTATTGTTCAGAGTTTTGCAACATAAATTCAGTGCCAGAAAAATAAACACAGATGGCTGATGCTTCATTTAACATCTTTATGAACATATTAAATAAATTTTACAATACCAGATTGTAGATTTCTCCAACATGGAGCAAACTCAAACAGAAGCAGTTGCAAGCAACTCAACTTCAGCAGTAGAGCAAGACCGAGAGAGAACTTCTAGTTTCACTTTCCAGGTCAGCTCCCATTGGCTGGTCTATTTCCATGCCTACTTACGGTTTCTGTTAACTATGTCTCTGCCAGTAAATGAATACTCTGATACTTATGACCTGGATCCCAAGTTCCAATGGCTCCCCAAGCCCCTGTTTCTCACAAACACACTTCAGGCTTAGCAACACCGCTGCGTTTACAGATTTTTGCTGAAAAGTTTTTGTCAAAATTATGCCATGGCGAAAAATGGATTTGCTTAATAACTACCTTAATAATAATACTTTAATAATATAAAGTGCTTGCTTTATGACTTCTGCAAAAAGGATTGTAAATGATTTTATGACCATTACAATTTACAATCATGAAGGGCAGGCTCCATCACAGTTATAACTTGAGGGTGAAGTCCAGGCTGAGTAGAATTTTGGGAGGCCAACAGTTTGTCTGATTGACATCAGTTGGAAAACATTTCAATCAGTCAATTTATCAGGACTATATGAAAATAAAAACAAACATTCCCACTTAATATATTAAACACCAGATTACACAAGACCACCTGGCATTTTAAACACAAACCATTCAATAGAACAATATATCAATATGCGAATGAGAGCAAATTACCTAATATACAGACTGGAGAGAGATATATTTTGCAATCAGGAATGGGCTGATAATACACTGCCAAAGCAATAACCATGACTGACATACTGAAATAGTTGAGCTGTGACATCATATTATCACAATGGTTGGATTAATGCAACATGTAAACACAACTATGATGCACAATCTCCCAAAATTTGCTGTTGGACACATTACATTGCTGCTAGTAAAACCACTGAAGGAGAATAGGAGAAAAGAGATCATTTGAAGCCCAGAGGTTTTAGGTGATAACAGAGACAATCAAATTTCTTATTAATTTTATTAGTTTCAAGTTGACCAACACCATAGACAATCTCTTCCACGATATCTACATTCAAATATAAGTAATTTTTAGACTACTGACTTCATCTCAGCTGTAAAACTACTTAGATACAATTGGGAATGTTATAGTTACAGCCTAGACCAGGAAGTCAAACTACATCAAGGAAAAAAGCAACCAATTTCTGTAGAATACTGTTGTCAAGGAAACTGCACGGACTTGTCCAAGAAGCCACCAAAGACGCCTCCATTTAAAGGTTACTCTCGCTTTAGTCTCCTTCAACATATTGCACTCAAGTGTCTTTGCATACAACTCAGAGATTTGTCTGTTAGCAGGCAACAACAATTAATGAAGGCTAGAACAGGGAATATTAATGCCTCAGCTGCTAAAAGCAGTGAATCTGGAGATATTTCCTGTGATAATTTCCTATTAATAAAAGTGAAGCTCTTTTAAAAAATAAAATCAAATGCACCAAAAAGCAATACTTTGGCTTGTTTAACTTGTATATTTTAAATGACTAGCAATATCAATGGTACTGTTAGTTGCTGACCAGGTATTTCCTGCTCTTACCCATTTCTGTTGTGCAATATAGCATGAACTTCAAGGAAATGCCTGAAATAAACTTAATATTTGGACCTCTCCCATTATCGCAGGTCTGAACACATACCCTCACATACATGTTTGATAAATGCTTAGAAACTTCACCACTTCTGTTTCTCTTGCGCCAGAAACTACTCACACAAAATTGCTTTGATTCTCTTACCCCCAAAAGTGTATGAAACAAGTACTTCAATGCCTATTCCAATCCTTGTGCTGTTAAGAAGCTTCTCCTGCAGGTTGGAGTAAGAATTCTCTGAGTTATTTCCAATATATTAAATCATTAAAACCGTTATAGAGAGGAGACGACTTTTCCAGAGAGAGGAGAGTCAGAGAGGAAAAATTATTACAGATTAGGCAGTTTGGAACAGGAAATTCCACTAGGACTAAACCGACCATCTCCGACTTTAGTAAAATTACCCTTGTTCCCTGCTGAGGGTGGCTCCTAATGTCTTACTTTATGCCCTGTAATATGTCCAGCTCAACATCAGTTCCCTTGTTCATGCTGACCATTCATTCACAGCTACTTAACTCTGAAAATCTGAAGATCAGCCAAATTCTTTATGCAGGTTAATCTAAAGAGTTCCCAAAGTGCTCCAAAGTGGATGAGCCAGCCATTATAAAGTCTTTCTCTTTCCTATCACACGATAAAAAGTACCCTGGACTTTTAACAAAATCTTGAAATGATGTATATTAAATGCTGTATAATAAGGGAGGCTCCAGAGCCATATCTCATGAAACAGGATAATGCCAACCGGGAAAGATGGAAATCGCAGACATTGCAGATGGACATTGGTTGTGACTGATTGTCAGCCCTTCAGCATCATGTAGAAGTAAAGTGGGCTCTTTCTGAAAGTGGCCTTAATTGCTTTTAAGTATCTCAGAATAGGAGGAAATTATTGACCAAACTGATTTTCAAATAACACAGCATCTGAAGGATCCTTGTCGCCTTGTGAGGTTGGTTGCTTTCTTGTATAAGAAATGTCTTGTAGACCTTTCATTACCCAGCTAGGTTATACCATCAGTTCTAGTGAGTTTAGCATCAAAAACCCCTTATTTCAACCCTGAGTTACAAATATTCTCCTTTTTTGATACAGAAGCTAGCAGTCCTTGTCTATACTAAGTTTAGAGGCCTGCCTGAAAGAGACAAAAATCCTCCCCCCCAAACAAACAAACAAACAAACAAAAGAGAATGAAAGAAGCAAACTGCTATGAATTACTCAAAAGGATTTTACTGGATTTTTCTCCTGCTGTGGCTTTAATCCTTTGCTAATAATAACCACTGAAGATATGTAGGGTTTTTTTTATTGTCCAAGAATGGATCGCAGTTCAAAATGCTGCTTGAGAGTTTTATTAACTATACTGCCAATTTTCAGCAACTCTGGTCAAAGATAATCCTAAACAGTGGTGGGATTCAAAATTTTTACTACCGGTTCTGTGGGTGTGGCTTGGTGGGCGTGGCAGGGGGAAGGGTACTGTAAAATCCCATTCCCTCCCCACTCCTGGGGGAGGGATACTGCAAAATCCCCATTCCCTCTTCACCCCACTAACCTGCTTTCCAGCTCCATTCTCCTGTGCAGGGCAACCAAAGAAGACCCAGCCAATCAGCTGGGACTCGGGAGGCAGAGAATAGATGGGGGCGGGGCCAGTCTGAGGCGGCATTTGACGGTTCTCTGAACTACTCAAAATTTCCGCTACCAATTCTCCAGAACAGGTCAGAATCTGCTGAATACCTCCTCTGGTCCTAAGTCTTGGTCATTTGCCATTTTTGTTGTTTTAATTACAAATTCCTGTTTAAAGATTATAGCAATCATATCAGCAATGCTTTCTCTCCCCATTCTTTCCCATTCTCCCAGTTTTGATAAATAGTGGGAGTTGAGCCTTCAAGGCTAGGGTGGAGAAGGATATCCTAAATTGGTGTTTCTCAATC